TAGTCTTTGCAACTTTACAGATCTTCTTTATGCACCAAGAGCTTGTAACACTCCAAAGAGAAAGGAACAATTGAAATCACATCATATGACCCCTTTAAAGATATGACAAAGATTTTTGGTACACATTATCTTTAAGGTTTCTAGTATTAATATAAGAATTCACATATATTCAGTTTTGTTGAGTGTGGTCATAGAATGAGTAAACATCTTGATGGTCACAATAGTGACCAGTGGGATAATTTAGGTATACAATATGAATCCAATTGCAGTTGTTAGTGAAAATTACACTAAAATGTTGCAATGACAAAATATTGCACTAAATAAAAAATTAAAATGTTACAATATTGATGTTGTAATACTGGTAGCACTAATATAACAATGTGATGTTATATTTGACAAAAAAGTAACAATTTTGGAATGCGTTGATGGTTGAATTTTTTTTGTCTTTTATCTCAGTGTTCCTATCAATGTTGCATAAGGTCTTTTTATGCACAATAGTAACCCTAGAATGTAATCAAACAGTTTAAAATAACTGGGCTAAGACATACAACAATTTTTATGACTGCAGAAATATGTTAATTCAGTACACACATTATTCCACCGGTCACAATTGTGACCTACCATAAAACACAATTTTTCACACACTTTTCCAAAAATAAAAAAAATATTTCAAAGACATCATTTGGATATTTTCCTAATGACACATCATTTGGATATTTTCATGTCTGGGAAAATTTTTGGGTTATCGTTTCATAAAGAATGTTTGCTCGTAGGTTTTTTAACCATTCCATGTTTTGAGAACATTTCCTGTTAGATTAACCAATGCTTAATTTGACTCATTTGTCGCGACGTCTCGAACATTCAAAGACATATTTTCATTGTTAGAACTACATAAATCACAATATTTGAAGAGAAGTGTTTCTGAGTCTGAAAAATCTAATTACACCAACCAAACATCATATGTGTGAATTAATTAGGACATTATACATGTAATTAAATACCTTGTTACTGTTCCATCAGATCCAGCCAAGAACTGGCTTAGGAACGGATGAGCAGGATTTTAAAAAGTCTATTTGATTATTTTAAGTGCGAGAGAAAGAATGACGAAGCAATCGCTCATGCTGAATTATTCATGAGCCAATTAAACAGCTGCGACGAGGACAGACAGTAAACGAAAGGACAACAGAATCCTCATACAGTACCTGCGGAGAGAAATAAACAAAGGATCATAATATGCGCAGAAGCAATTCCAAGCATATGCATTATTAACGGAGGAAAACGTGCTTTGAATGAACATCCTGGTTAATATTGAATGTGATTACTCCTTCTGAGAAAGAGCGGCGTGAATGCAAAGCATGAGAAAGTGAAACGCTGCACCAGATCAATGAAAGCACACGATCGATGTGATCGTGACCTTTGACACCGAGTCTAATACTGCACCAGAGGATGCTGGGAAATGTAGTTTCGTCAGCTGTTTCTAGTAATAACTGCATGCATGTTTAATGCTGTGGTGAAAGCACTCTGATGGGGTTTTCTCAGAAGCTCAGTCTCGGATCTGTTCGTAATGTTTCTGGTGTCGTGTTTCTTTGGAAAAGCACTGAAGCGCAGCTGTATTTACTCTGAAATAATGCCACTGCACTCATCAGATGATTACATGACTTACAGAAGAGACTTTCACAGCTAACGAAGCGGTTTCAAAGAAAATACGACTATTTAAACATGCATTTTTATTATAATAAAAGTATATATTATTTATGTGTACATTTATCAATTATAAATTATATTAAAATAAGATTGTATTTACATTAATAATATTAAACTTAGAATTGTATTATTTTAACATTACATATTATTTATATAAACTATAAATTCTATACTACAATTATAAATATATTAGCATAAATGTAGCATGATATACTAAAATTATAATTATATTGTATTGTTCACATATTAATTATAATAAAAGTATATATTATTTATGTGTACATTTATTAATTATAAATTATATTAAAATAAGATTGTATTTACATTAATAATATTAAACTTAGAATTGTATTATTTTAACATTACATATTATTTATATAAACTATAAATTCTAAACTACAATTATAAATATATTAGCATAAATGTAGCATGATATACTAAAATTATAATTATATTGTATTATG